ATGATGAGTTATAACTCATGAAAAAGGGACACAATAGATCTACAAGGTTGCGGTGATTAACTTCCCTCTCCCGTAGAATCTACAATCTACAAACAAGAAATAAACAAAGTAGCCCCACTAACTCCTTTGATTTTCCACTGTCACTTTTAGTTCCTTCTATATTTCCTATATTTTGTTTTAAGATTACTAAAATCTATCGATATAGTTAAAACTATATCGATATTTTAATATATCGATTTGTTGAATACATGTCTAAGAAAAGCCGCGAATTACCACAGAATTCTGAAAACCTCGCTACATAAACGATAGAAATGGGGGTACTATTAGGGCCGGTAAATATTTAATATTCTAATTCAATCACATTAGTTGCACACGTTTGAGGGAACGAGTGTGGTCAGGGTTCGTACAAGAATTTCAGGAATTCGAATTCGATCAGAGACCCGGCGGGCGGGCCAATAGCTTGGTGGAATACGGCACAACGTTGCCGAGGTTTATTAAAGCGAAATTTATATAATTAGAATATACTTGAAAATCAATTACCAAAATTGTATATTACGAATTTTTTTTATTTCATTTTATTTTATTTTTCTCAATATTATTAAGCCATTCTTTGCGGGAAATACTTTGACCTGTATGTCCCTGTATTCCCTTTCTATGTCTGTACCCAGTCTCTTTTATACCTGTACCTTGCACCAACTTGTACAGGTCCATGATAGAATGGAAGCATAGCTCTTCTTGTTCTAGTCTTCCTTTCCCAAATAGAAAGTGCCGCTTGCGATCCAGAGGCTTGCAGTGACATTATGTAATCTGCTATGTGATCTGCTGGATCTTTATCACAGAGTCTGAAGCAAAGGCCTCCTTGATATAGATTGAGCTTATTCAGTTATACTTAACATCCATAATATTGTAATAAAACAAACCAGGGTCATCAACAAAGTTGAAGAGGTGATATGTTGTCCAACTGTATAATAAAACAATCTAAATGAAATAATAGTTATTTACAGTACAAGTGTGTTTATGAACATGATTACAACAACGAGTGTGACAACTCTAATCACACGAGTGTTGTAATCATGTTTAATTCTGCTTTAATTTTCGTTTATTAGTCGCCCACCTTTAACACCTTTAACTAGGACATTTTTTTAATTATAATTGTGACAGACAGACCTTAGACCTTCACTATTATCATCGTCGTCATCATCAGCAGCAAGAATTGTTTTGAAGAAGTGTAAAAAATGTGTTATTAATATTTATAATAATTAGTAGTAGGAATTTGTATCAAAAATTAATATATTTAGATCTTCTTAGTTGTTTTTCATTATTATAAAAACTAGTTGTGTTATACATTCATAACACCACTAGTTGTGTTATGAATCTCATAACGTAACTGAAATACTAAAAAAATAGTGATGTAAAAACGTTATAACTAAACGGTTGTAGATAAAGGAACATATTAATATTATTATTATGTTCTTGAATCTCGGGCTTTCCGGTATTTAACGTAGTCGCGGACTTAAGTCAAGCGTCAACGCTTTTTACTGTGTATTTAAGACTTGTCGTGTAATATTACATGTGTGGAGGATAACTGTTTTTTGAATGGGTATATAAAGTTTTGGTGCAAGTTCAAGGCCTTTATTATTATTATTATTATTATTATTATTATTATTATATGTTGTGTTAAAAAAATTTTTTATTGTGATTAGCTGGGATGTGCCTGACAGAAGCAATATTTTGGGAAATTTGAGGAGAATAGGTTATCTAAATAAACGCCAAACTTCTTGGTATATTCTTTGAGTCTTGGTACTGCCTAGAATTCACAAGTAACAGAGAAAATCTTGATCACTATTCCAAAGAATCCAACTATGCTGTTCTGAACTTTAATAAAAGAGAAATAATAATAATACAAAAACTACACTCATACCAAGGTTTCATACGTTCCAAACATTTATTACATTCAAAACGGAAGAGGTTATTGTTAGTTTAATGGGTCCCTACCCGTAGGTACTAAGATCTCTTGTTGCGAATCTCGAAGGTAAAGTTGAACGTTTGGTTCCAATATTTTTAGATTGTAAGTTATTCTATTTATTGTTTTTGTTTGCCCTTTTGCGAGCTAAGATATTCGCCCATGCACGGTCAAAAAGTACATTCAAGAAGGCTCTTATTCTCACACTGAACCATCAAGATCGGCACGAATGGACAGTAAACGATTGTATTTAGATTACTTTTAAACTGAAATTATTTACAGCCTAAATCGATTCCATTAAATATACAGGGTGTTTCAAAACAAATGCGAAAAACATCAGGGGGTGATTCCTTGTTCAAAATAAAGGGTAGTTTGCTTCATAAACGTTGGGTCAAAAGTCAACCATTGGTTAGATATTGCGGTACAAAGATGGCGGAAAAATAATGTTTTTATTTTTTATCTTGAAAACGAAAATAGATAGACTAATAAAATTTTATGGAAGCATTACTGTTATGAAAACACACTTTCTGGTAATTTTTTCACTTTTTTAAAATGAGTGGAAGGGGTTGAAATAAACTACCCCTATCATTCTTGTTAACGAAATTTAAAGAAAAATCTTATCAAACACATGCAAAAAAATAATTTGGATAGTTTAGTTTGTTTAGAAACTTTTTTATCTCTTGTATTTTTTTGATAAAACTCACCGATTTGAAATTAAAAAATAAAATGTAAAGTATTACATGTCAGGACAAAAAACATTTTCTGATAAAGAATCTAGTGGGCTGCTGTAATTTTTTTAGGAAAAAATCTAGTCGGCCGCTGTTACTTTTTAGGATGTTCCTAATATTATTTTATTTGACATTACTCTACTGCAATACGTTATTATCTAAATGATTATTATTATCGTTATTATCACTAGATTCTTAATCTAAAAAAATTTTGTCCTGACATGTAATGCTTTACATTTTATTTTTAATTTCCAATCGGTGAGTTTTATCAAAAAAACACAAGAGGTAAAAGTTTCTAAACACACTAAACTATCCAAATTAAAGCATTTGCATGTGTTTGATGAGATTTTTCTTTAAATTTCGTTAACAAGAATGATAGGGGTAGTTTATTTCAACCCCTTCCACTCATTTTAAAAAAGTAAAAAAATTACCTGAAAGTGTGTTTTCATAACAGTAATGCTTCCATAAAATTTCATTAGTTTATCTCTTTTCGTTTTCAAGATAAAAAATAAAAACATTATTTTTCCGCCATCTTTGTACCGCGATATCTCCCTAATGGTTGACTTTTGACCCAACGTTTATAAAGCAAGCTACCCTTTATTTTGAACAAGGAATCACCGCCTAAAGTTTTTCGCATTTGTTTTGAAACACCCTGTATACACATGTTATATCATATAATTCTAAGGTGAAATAAATAATGAAAATCTTTAGCACAGAATATTACAACAGACAAATAAGCTATATGCTTTAGTTAACACTAGTTAAATAATGCGAAAACATTTACTTTACCTTTAATAACATTCTTTGTCACAAAACTTACGAACCAAAAATAACATCAATGCGTCTCGAATGGTAGTCTAAAAGCTATTACTTAACAACTATTATCTCTGTTTGTCGTCTGATTTCCCTCTCTCTAGTTTGCGAATAATATTTTTAAAAATCAATAATTCCTTTGTGGTTTTTGCAGTCAGGTCCTTGGATTATACCTCGCCCCTATCGGTTTCTCGATTTAGACACTCATCAAGTTGGTAGGCCATTGACAATGATATGGCCGAGGACCGCGGTTCGAACGACGCGTAAAAATGTATGGCCCGTCCAGATTAACCTTTTCTCATCTAAAACACTTATTTAACAAAATACATAATTTTTGTATTTTAGATGAGTTCTGGCAACACCGAACCTATTTAAGGGATGCTCGACTAACCGGAAATGGCTAATTTTATTAGAAGCCGTGATGCCGCAAGGGTATTTTTTCGGTAATCCGGTTCAATGAACCGATGTGGTATTAAGGGGAAAATAGCCCGACGATTTTTCAACGTGAAGAATTTAAGAGAAAAAAAGGGATAATGTGTATTTGCACTTTAACCTTTTACTACCAAAAAAATGTAAATTAAGTTTCCGGGTCACTTGTTTTTAGAAAAAAAATTAAAAGATAGTATTTAGATAGTTAATTGAATTGTACAGGATGTCCAATTTTCATATGTATCCGTAAAAAAATGGATCCGTAAAAAAGTCGGACTCGCGCACGAAGGGTTCCGTACCATTCATTATCTATACAATATTAGACACTATATTATTATAAACTTTTTTTCCGATTTAGCTGAAATTTTGAATGCGCCTATAAGTAATTTAAAAAAAAAATGAAGGAACGCATTACTAAAAATTGTATTAATCAATAATAAATATTATGTAAAAAGTAAAAATAAATATGTAAAAATATGAAAAAATTTTAAAAAAACGATTAAAAAAAAGTCGCCTTAGGATTCGAACCTGCCTACTATTAATTATACCTGCAATGTCATAGCAGCGTAAAGTCCTAACGCTTTAACCACGCGGCCACCGAGGACTTGAAAGATTCTATGTAAAATTCTTACTTAAAAGATAATGTTTAGTGAAAGTACTTTTTTATTTATAAACATTTATTTAATTCTGTTTTTAGTATTTGTTCTTATAACGGCAACATAGATACATTATCTGTGAAAATTTCAACTTTCTAGCTATAACGGTTCATAAGATAGACCTTTGTGACAGACGGACGGACGGACAGCGAAGTCTTAGTAATAGGGTTCCCGTTTTTACCCTTTGGGTACGGAACCCTAAAAATGAATGTAACAACAATAATTCAAGGATTATGAATTATCGCTAGTCAAACTTCTTTAACTTCTGCAGTGACTCATCCACCGTTACTGCCACCTTAAAATGTTCGTTATGTGGAAGAATAGGGTTGCGCATAGCATGCCAAAATTTTCTCTGTATTTTTCAACGTTTTTAAACTTGTTTTATTTAAACTTCTTTCCTATCGCTTCCAGAAAGACATCACGTACTCGTGTTTGGTACAAGACAGCACAACTTCATCCGAAAAAGTCATCCACGTCTACGTCCTCGACCGCGAAGGTGTCCACACTTGTCCGGAAGAATCCAGCTACGATCTCGTATGGCCTGAAACAGCTCCGGACACCGACTACGTCCAAGAATGCCCGAAGGACTTCTCAGGAATAGTGGTTAGGAAGTGTTCGCTGAGAGATGGAAAGAAGCCAGCTTGGGAGAAACCAGACTTCTCGCAGTGTACACACAGGACTTTAGAAACAGTTTATGATGATGTAAGGTTATTCTTATTCTTAATATTAGTGTTAAGGAATTTAGTCTTACTGTATTACCTAAATATTATGTTCTATTCTGTTTTGTTAAGACAGAGCAAGCCAAATGAACTATAGTTCATATCAAATAAACTTTTAGTCACGTGATTAAGCTTGACCGGCACAGCGTTGCCCACTTTTATATATTTTCTTTTAATTAAAATATTTTAGGAAACAAAAATAAATTAATTATAAATATATCTTCTTCTTCTTCTTCTCAGCCATTACTCATCCACTGCAGAATGTAGGCCTCTCTCAGTTTCTTCCACTCGTTTCGATTCTGAGCCCTCCTCATCCAGTTCTTACCGGCTACGGTTTGGATATCATCAGTCCATCTTTTAGGAGGTCGGCCGACTGGGCGTTTTGCTAGGCGTGGCCTCCAGCAAAGAAGTCTTTTTGCCTATCTTTCCTCGGACTGTCTGGCAAAGTGTCCTGCCCAAGACCATTTAGAGTTAGCTATCCTCTCTACGATGTCCGTTATCCTCGTCTGTCGGCGAATGTCTTTATTTCTAATGTGGTCGCGAAGACTGATACCCATCATGGCTCTTTCCATAGCTCTTTGGCTCACTCGCAACCTGTTCACACTTCGTGCCGTCATCGTCATGGTCTCCAAACCGTAGGTCATGACAGGCAAGACTCATTTGTTGTAAACGTCTCTTTTTAGGCTATTTGGGATTTTGCTTTTGAATATAAAGTTAAGTTTACCAAAAGCTGCCCATCCGAGTTTGATCCTTCTAGAAATTTCGGTTGTTTGATTTTCCTTGCCGAGTTTTATGGCATGACCTAGATATATATATATATATATATATATATATATATATATATATATATATATATATATATATATATATATATATATATATATATATATATATATTTTAACGTTCTCAATCCGTTGTCCATTAACAATAACTTGCTCTTCATTTTCATTTAGGGTTTTAGTTTTAGACAAACTCATTTTTAAACCTACTTGCGCAGATGTGTGGTGAAGTTGTTCGAGCATTGTTTGAAGTTCTTCCAACGATGAGGCCAGGACAACGACATCATCAGCGAAGCGCAGGTGGTTAAGCATCCCACCATCTACCCTAATACCCTTCTTGTCCTAGTTCAGCTTCTTAAATACGTCCTCCAGGGCCAGTGTAAAAAGTTTGGGGGAAATAGTATCCCCCTGTCGGATTCCTCTTTCCATTTTAATTTTATTTGTGATAATTATGTCATCCAGTTTCGTCATCCATGCCCGAGTATCTGTAGTCTATTCTGGCATTTTGTAGGGCATCGAGGATGGCGTGTAGCTCTATAGAGTCGAAAGCCTTCTCATAATCCACAAAGGCGACATATATAGGGAAGTTGTATTCGGTTCTTTTCTCTATGAGAGTACGGACTGCCTGAAGGTGATCCACAGTACTATATCCACTTCTAAACCCTGCCTGTTCCGGGGGTTGATAGAAGTCGAATTCGTTTGACAGGCGATTTGTCAGCACCTTTGTGAATATTTTGTAGAAGTGCGAGAGCAGGCTGATGGGACGATAATTGTCGAGCCTGGTGTTATCACCCTTTTTGTGAATAAGAGTGATTGTTGCGTTTTGCCATAGCTCTGGTATTCTTTGTTCCATAATGCATCTATTAAAAATTTCCGTCATCTTCTGCAGTAGAAGTTGTCCACCAGATCTGAACATTTCGGTTGTTACTCTGTCTTCTCCCGGTGTTCTGTTATTTTTCATTTGGGACAGGGCTTTCCTTATTTCTTCTACGTCTATTTCAGGAATTTCCTCGGAGTTAACATTAATGACTGGGGGTCTAGTGGGTTCGCTGATCGTTGTTATTTGCTTGCTAAGTTATAAATATATAAACATTTATTATTAACATCAACAAAACTCACCTTCTTAACAACACTTAAGAGACATAAAGGGCTATTACTACCGCTTTCCCGTTCAAAATATTCTAATAGAGTTGCGATGAGTTTTTTACGGCTATTAAGCTATCTTGTAATTCGCCCTAAACAGGTTCTAAAAAGAACAATGTTCGACTGCAAGGTCTGCTAGTGAACATTGTTAAGCTTAAAGTATCACAACACTATTTATTTAATCTAAAAACTCGTACTGCAAAACTAAAGGGTCAAAACGAATGACAATGTCAAGAAATAAATAAATAAATGTGGCAACTTGACTTTTTTACAGCAGAGCTACCACCTAAATCCCCAGCGGGAAATTTAAATTCCAGTTAGTAAGTCCGACGCCGAATATGTCCATGGTTGGCAACAATGAATTTAAAAATGGCGCCCTTGATTACGTAACTAAAAGTTTACTTGGTATCGAATATACATATCTGGAGTGGTGAAAAAAATATCTAGGACAAAGACCAAAAAAATAATAGTTATTTACCCAGGAAAGATTAACTTTTGTTTCAAATATAACGAGCTTTTTGGACGCACAGTATGAAACAGATTAATCTAGGATTCTATTTCGAGATTATTTCTCTAGACACTAGAGTATAATTTCTTTAATTTTCAGTTTGAACAGCTGAAATTAGGCTACGCAGCTACGTCCATAGACACTTTGCTCAAAGCTATTATGGAATACGTTACCATAACTCAACGAGGCAACCTTAGACCAGGGGAGGGAGCTAGGATACTGACTATAATCGAAGAAATTCTTACTTTTATTGGTCAGGTTAAAATAAATTACTTCACCACGAATCAAGCGGCCTCGGTTATATACAGGGTGATTGATCAAATCCTGTCAACGCCTGAAGCATTGTTGCGGCCTCAGGTAAGCGTTTAATAATATCTGATCATTTATTTACACTTAACTATGAAAATTATTAAGTGTTCGAAAATTAGTGCTGTCGTCTTTTGGATTCTCAGTATTTACTTATCTACAGGATTCGGCGATAGTGCGTCGGGCAACTGTAGCTCCTAGAATAAATAACTTGGAAATTTTGTTTAAGTGCAAACCCATAGTATGTATATATACTAGGATATATTTCAGGAAAATATTTTAACATCTACAGGCTACTGGCTCAAAAAGGGTGAGTGGATCGAGATGATTTTTTTTTAAATGGAACACCCCGTATATTATTGCATTTTTGGCTTCCTTTCAGATAACTTTACATAATCCTTAGATACAAGAAAATATGTTTCGATGGTTTCAGAGATATTAATAATTAAATAAAAAATGTTATATATTTTTCAACCTTTTTAGAAAAATTATTACAAATACAGGAACTGTCCTGAAATCAAAACTATATTAGGTATTTACTTTAGATGATCTATAGTTACCTTGCTATAAATAATGTAATCTTAAATCATACATGGTGTACAAAATTCTACGCGAAACTTTCTAAAATATAAAATAATTTTTCATTATTTTTTAAATGGAACATATTATATTCTATATTATATTTTTATTAGATGGAGAATTAAAAAATGAATATTTTTGTATTTTAAAGTATTTTAAAAAATTTAATGGTCCTCAACGGCAAAATACTAGAGAAAAATCATTGGGTGGCTTTGATAAAAATTTACTGTGGAAAATGCCTTATGAAATATAAAACCGCGAATATCTGCGAAACCGTTAAAAATTTTGAAATACTCTAAATACAAAAATTTTCATTTTTTTTACTTCTCCCTGTAATAATATACAGGGTGTTCCATTTAAAAAAACGAAGAAAAATTATTTTATATTTTAGAAAGTTTGGCGTATTTTGAACATCCTATATGATTTACGATTACCATATTTAAAGCAAAGTAAGTAGACACAATCTAAAGTAAATACCTAATATGATTTTGATTTCAGGACAGTTCTTGTATTTTTAATAATTTTCTTAAGAAAGGCTGAAAATATATATTTTTTATTTATTTATTAATATCTCTGAAACTATCGAAATATATTATTCATATCTTAGGATTGTGTAAAGTGACATATTAATATTATATTAAGTTAAATAAGTACCTCAAACTAACGCAGTTCATGAACCTTGTTGTATGCGCACATAATTCCGTCAATCAATCAAAAGTTAATTAAATAAATATGTCAAGTGACACCATCACAAAATACTTGACAAGATATTAATATATTTATATAAAAAATTTGTATATTTATATATTTTAATAATAAAATTCAAAAATATCTAATAATTACATAATTAATTATGCAATTTGTCAACAGTAAGTAAATAGGTTTTAAATGAGTTAATAAAAATAATATGTATGAAATCGGGCCTGATTATCCGGTGCAATTCTAGGCTTTGGCTCGTCCTTCTGGATGGTGTGTGGACGTTAGGTGTGGGAGCTCATCCCCAATCTACCACAGCCTCGAACAGCCCCTTACAACCAGCCATTTGGAAATCAAACATGGATCATAGATATAGGCTCTCGTATCTCAAACCACTAATTACGGTACGTCTGCTGGATCCGTGTCTATGAAAGGAATGCGGACAAAAACCATTTAAATAAACAATAATATATTTTATACGTCGACTTGACGACTACGTCACCGCAAATCGCTCCGCCCACTCATTTTATTGGCTACTTGCAAATTTGTCGAATTTTTATTGATGGGACGCGTCGTCTAATTTTTTACGAAAAACATCGAGAGAATATCGTTTCCCCTCTCACGGATACCCCGTAGCTACAGAACGGACAGACGTACTGTACAACATATATCTGGACATGTAACTGGACGGTAAAACCCTGGAAACGACACAACTTATGCACAAAATGCATTTTAGCAATTTTAGAACTTACCTCACGATGCTGAGGGTTTACTTAAAAATTAAATTCATGAAAGGATAACCAAAACCACGTTTAGAAAATCTGTAAAGAAATAAGGTTGAACCAAAAGAGTAAAAATGTGATGAAGATCAAACTTACCACAAAAATACCCATGAAAACTTAAAACTGTTTCCTTCCCCAAATGCCAGGAACCATTAGGACTACATCCAAAGATTAAAATTATAAAAAGGTTGAAACTTTTTCCGATTACTTCAGATAAGTATGGTCGATGTCTAAGCCACGAAATCTGAATCAAAAATGGTGACTTCCGATAGTCAAAAAGATGCTCTAGTTCTGCGCCGACAAGGGCAAGTCTGATCAACAGAGTGTCCGAAATTAGTCAGAACTAATTCGGTAAGGTGTATGTTGGGTTGCCAATAGTATCGTTTTATTAAAACGTTACAACACTTTTTTGAGCCAGAAGAAGAAGCTGTAGAAGCTAATATATTTTCCTGAAATACATCCTAGAACATATTCTAGGTTTGCACTTGAACAAAATTTCCAAGTTTTTATTCTAGGAGCTACAGATGCCTACGACGCACTATTGCCGGACCCTGTATATTATCGGATGTAGTACACTAAAAACAATATCAACACGAAATTACTCTCATCGTCTCATATAACATGGAATATGTATATGCAGAATGAACCGTACCATAAACGGTAGGAATGTAATATATATGCCGGTCTAACGGCCCCGAGGAAGCGATATTCCCCGTGACTTGGCCCCATTAATCCGCTTCCGCGGTTGTCGATTCAAATTAGACAAGTTAAGTTTTCGGAGTGGAAAGCTGTTGCTCCAGGTCTAGGCGATATTACCAAGTTCCTTATCCAGTCTTCCAGGAGATAATCGATAAAGTCGATGGTGGAGCTTATTGAGGAGAAAAGGGATTGACAGGAAGGAGCAAAAAATATGTTTTAGGAGCATTTTTTGTTATAAAATCTTTGTAGAGCTAAGCATCTCAAGCTTAATTTTTTTTTAAACCGGGTGCGTCTCAAAAGTGGCTCACCCGTATAATTTTTTAATTTTTTCAGATAAAAAAACGAGATTTGGTATGTTAGTATATGACATAAATTAGGATTGATTGACGTATTCAATTGTTTTCGACCACTTCCTATTTTACCGGAACTGACTACAATTTTTGATTTTTAAATGGCACCCTCGGTATTTTTTACTTTATTCGATAGAAAATAAAACTCATTTTAAATTGCAACATGCGGTTCATAATGACAATTGGACTCAAAATACCAAGTGTTTGGTATCAAATTATTCATAAAAAAATGGTTTTTCCAAATATGCTAATGAGCCACCTTCCTTCCATTTGAAAAAAATTGAGATATGATTAAAAATACGATTTGGGCATTTTTTAATCGACCAGGACAAGATACTAAAAATATTAGATGATCAAATCTATTTTTCCAAGACTCCTTCGTTAAAAATTAGTGTTTTAACACAGCCATGGCACTATAGATTCACTAGATTGAAATTTAAAATACAATTTGTTTTTGAGCGAATATGTCAAAAGATAAGTTACTATAGTAACTTATCTCTAACCAGCCAAGACACTAAAAACATGGGATGATCAAATCTATTTTTCCTTTATTTTTTATTAAATTAGTGTTTTTAACATAACCATGGCAATGTAGATTTAAATTTAAAATACGATTTTTTATTAAGCGAGAATGTCAAAAGTTGACATATTATATGTCATTCTATTCATAATGCCATTTCCTATCGAATAAAGTAAAAAAATACCGACGGTGCCATTTAAAAAGCAAAAGTTGTAGTCATTTCCGGTGAAACAGGAAGTGGCCGAAACCAATTGAATACGTCAATCAATCCTAATTTTTCTCGTATACTAACATACCAAATCTCGGTTTTTTATCTGAAAAAATAAAAAAGTTGTAGGGGTGAGCCACTTTTGAAACTCACCCGGTATAGTCTGTCCAAAGACCAAATCCTAGACACTGATAGATGTGTCATTTTAGTTTCAAAGTAGTTTATTTTATTTTACAAAGAAATAAGTTGGTACAATAAAATTGTAAATTAATCACTAATATTTTAAAATATTAGTGACATGATTACTTATGAATATAATGAAGAAAAAGTGTATAAAACTGAAAAAATCTAGTAGAGTTATTTTATATAAAAAAATAATTTCTGGTGTGTGTTAATACAAAACAAACAGAGGTGTGTGTCAAACAAAACACCGCTTACAAAAAATATAGTATAGAAAAGCAGTTCTTACTTTCAAACTTAATGAAATTTCCTGCATTTATTATTATATTTTTATATATTTTTCTTTTTTGGTTTTAGGTCAATAAATAATTTTCCTTTATTTCATTAATTCATTGAGTCTGATGAAGACCAATAAAACGGTCAAAATGTTAGAGATTATTAGATAACTAAAATAAATGTAGTTGATGAAATAAGGAAAATTATTTATTAATCTAAAACCGAGAAAGAAAAATATATAAAATATAATATTAGAGCTCAAAGAGCATATACAGGGTGTCCCACTTAAGATGGATACAAGCCAATATCTTGATTGTTTGTTGAGCGATCTTTTTCATTTTTGGCAGGAGGCTGTATGGCTATAAGACGTACATTTTGCCCAGGGCACCCAGAGTAAGAAATGCGACATCTCATAGACGTACGTTTTAATGGGGTTTGATATTTTTCGAGTCAAGAGTAAACTACCCTTAGGACAGTATTTATTTCAAATCTGATAAATTATATTGAATCCTCCTTACTTAAGATACTTAAGTTCTAATTTTTATAAATACTAATACAGGGTGTCATTAAAATAAGACATTTTTATTTTTATTATTATTTTTTAAGTACTTTCGACGCCACTGGATAAACAACTGGTTTATTATCAATAACCACAATTATATCCAATTATCAATTACTTAATAATCGATTTAAGTTTGGTCGAAGATGTAGACTTTTAGTTCGTTATAGTTTTATAAATCTTTGTTTAGAGCATATTTTTCAAAGCTAATAGTGATTGTTTTAAATAACTATTTGGATTTTTTAAAATATTCCTCAATAAAACGAATAAAAATCATATTTCAGATTCCATTGAAAACTGGGTTTTTAAATTATTTTGTAACTCATTTTATTCATTTGTATTAGCAAACTTAAAAAACCATTTTTTAAAGTAAACAAAATAAATTGAAAATATTTAGTTTTTTTGTATCGTATCTTAATTATTATGGAAGCTATCTGAAAACTTAAATCGATTATTAGTTGATAATTGGTTATAATAGGTTACTAATAATAAACCAGTTGTTTATCCAGTGGCGTCGTAAGTACTTAAAAAAAATAATAAAAATAAAAATGTCTTATGTTAATAACACACCCTATATCAATATTTATCAAAATTAGAACTTAAGTATCTTGGTTAAGGAGGATTCAATATAATTTATCACATTTGAAATAAATACTGTCCTAAGGGTAGTTTACTCTTGACTCGAAAAATATCAAACCCCATTAAAGTACGTCTATGAGGTATCGCATTTTTTACCCTTGGCAAAATGTACGTCTTATAGCCATACAGCCTCCTGCCAAAAATGCAAAAGATCGCTCAACAAACAACCAAGATATTGGCATGTATCCATCTTAAGTGGGACACCCTGTATAACACAAAAATTTATTATTATATTTATCAGTATAACAAGTACAAATAAAAAAGTTCTAATATTGCACAGAGATAAATAAAACAAAATATTTTAATAATATTAATTGAGTAATTTACAAACACTACCGAATTTTATGCCCTAAAAGTTGGTTAATTAACTTTATCTTAATTTTTCTTAATTCCATTACCTTTTGGCCTTATAGCTCTACAGTACTGAATGCTATTATTATTTACCTACCGTGTGATGTTTTTATTTTACAGCTACATCAGTTTTAGTACCATACACGAAATGGTATATAAACTTTATTGGTAACTATTACAACTAACACGTAATAACACAAACTAAAATGCAAAAGCAATATCGCAAATATTTATCATCTTCCAGAACGCTGGTTATTTGACATAACTTGAACAAATTATAAACTTTATTTTGACAAGAGCTTGACAAGTTTCAAAAATCTTAAGTCGAGTTCATACGCATCTGCATCCGGGCGTTGTTCATCGTTCCATCCTTTGGTTCCATCACTCCAATCATACTAATGTGATCTGTCATTTTTGAAATAAACCAATAAGACTGGTTAAAAGCAATCTTACTATCTTTTTATATATTTTCTCTTTTTCTCTTTTTATCTTCTTCTAAAAATTAACCACTATATATTCTCACCATGCTCTCTGCAGAGCTTAATCATTAGAAGGAATCTCTCTAAGACATGTTACACACGCTCCAGCAGAGTGTTAAATCGACAGCAATCTTTATCTAACGAAGATGACTTGTTCTAGGAAATTAACTTGCTACAGAAAACGCTATTTTCTCAGCTGGGATTGGCTGAATTTCAGCTGGGAGACGATATGGGCTTGAGATATTTCAACTTGACGCTGAACACGTTTATGGTGACTGTTTTTCAACAAAATCCGAAGCAAAGTACATTTCAGGTGCCAGTACTAACAAAGAAATTAAGGTAAATCCTTAATAATAATATATAATATATAATATAATAATAAATAAATAATTTGCTTTGTAATTAATCTTTTTTTTTCGGAATTCTAGTGATGAAGAATCATGGATATCCGCTAAACTTACTTTGCACAGGACAACCAAGCGATTAGAATTATTTGGATGTGTTATTTACAAAAATATATCTGCCTTTTTTCCACCTAAATCCTTTTTACGAACAAAGTAAGCAAATTAAACGTTATAAATTAAAATAGTTTTAAAAATAGTCTTAGAATTATTGATATACAGTTGTTTTTCAAAAGTGGCTCATCTTTATACCTTTTTTTATTTTTTCTGAAAAAAAACGAAATTTCGTATATTAGTGTATGATATCCGTCTTCGCTGCGACCTGGCCGTCGCGTCAGTGCGTTCGGGCCCTTAGTTTTTTAATAATATACAGGGTGTTTCAAAAAATATGTGCCATCTCTCGAGGGGAGATTCCTCACGTAAAAATAAGTTTTGTTTTTCGTATCAACATAGGTCCGATTCGGACCTATGTGTTTCGTAGCTACAGGGTGTTAAAGTCTTAATAATCTTTCGATTTATTATAATTTTCTTCCAAGTACTTTTAGTGATTCAAATGAAATTTTGAGGGTAAAAGTTACTATAAGTGCTACATATTTTAATGTTAAAAAAAAGTCGATAAATTTATCAGGGACGTGCATATGGGTTGTCACTGGAATCTTTTTCATTAAAAAAACATGTGCGCCACTGACTTTTTTCTTTTGGTATCAAAATTGTATAGGCCGTTTGATGCCAATTAAAAGTTACCTCTTGATATTTTGTCGATTTCGGCCTCCTTGATGAGAATAAGCGCAATCTTATTAATTACAATTAATAAAAATAAAATTAACATTTCCATACCCATATTTATAGGAACTTTTTTTCATATTTTTTTATGAAGAATCAATGAGTACTTTTTTAAAACTTTAGCAAGTGAATGATATTAATTTTTTTTTAAAGGTTGCTATTAGACTTGGATCAAGGCAAATTAATAAAATTACGTTTATCCCATCAAGGAAGCAGAAATCGACAAAATATTAAGAGACAACTTTTAATCAGCATTAAACTGCTTACACTATTTCGCTAACAAGGGAAAACAAATCAGTGGCGTACATGCCTTTTTTAGAAACATATTCCAGAGATAATCCATATGCACGTCTCTGGTGAATATGTCGACACTTTTTTAGCTTTAAAATATGTCGCATTAATAGTAACTTTTACCCTCAAAATTTTATTCGATACGCTAAAAGTAGTTGAAAGAAAATTATAATAAATCGAAACAATATTAAGATTTTAACACACTGTAGCTACGAAACAAAGCAGGATCGGACCTATGTTGATGAAAATAAATCTTATTTTTACGTGCGCAATCTCCCCACGAGAGATGGCACATGTTTTTTGAAACACCCTGTATAATTTGCTGCCTTAGACCCTTGTCTTAGACTGACAATTTGATAGCCCAAAAATAATATTTTTTGCGCATGGTCGCGTGACATTTTTGTTTCCATGATTGTGCACCCCTAAAATAATAAACCACGAGCCGCTACTGCGTTTTGTATATACCATTTAAAACAACTTTCTGTAATTTATATTCTGTTCTATATAATCTATATTTTTTACAGGGACGGTACTGAAATTCAGTACCAAATCTACTCCCAAATAACAGCACTGGCACCTATTTTACGAAACTCAACTGGAAGTGATCAAGCTGACGTCACAGTGGACTTCAGTCACTTTCCAGACTTCCCAGAAGACGACGTAAGCAGTGGCGGCGGTAAATGGGAGGTGAAGTGCGGGTACGCGCCACTGGATTCTCTAGCCCAGACATGGGACGTTGACAAATGTGAGGTTAAAGGTCAAGTTCGATCGGAAGTGACACGTTGCCTGTGTCCTGGCTACGGTGCTTACGTACTGCTGCTTGTCATGGCCCAACCGGAAGTAAGTAAAGTCAGTCCTGCAAACGAATAAATAATAAATAATATTAAATAAGATCAGTAAAGACTAACAAATCCACAAAATTTCAAATCAAATTCAAATGTGTCAAATGAATCTTCAAACAGAACTGTCTAGGATCTCCACCCTAGTGCCCTCTCTCTGTCTACCATACATGGTAGACGTAGAGATATGTCCTATAATATTTTTATTCAAAACTTTAAACCTTTAAACCAATATCTTTGATATTTCACAGAGTAGGATATTTTTGCTAATGAATAATTATATACTTAATTAAAACGCTATAATTTGCGTTTTTATTGAATTTTCGATATTCAAAAATAAAAAAAAATTGGTCAGTTACATGTGGAACAAAATAAATTAAAAGCACTGTATACTGTACAGGGTGGGTCAAATTCGACGCTTTTAAATGGAAACACTCTTTTCTATAGGAGATAGACAAAAACTAATATCGGTTTCTGGAGCTCAATTTTTGTCAAAAACATGATGGTGAAAACCGCATATCGATATCTGTTACCGTTTCGGAGTTACAGGGTATTTTTCAAAAATATGCATTTTTAACAAATCGCTGTAACTTTTTTGCTATGGAAAATTTTATATTTTTATGAAAACATTTCCAAAGCACCTTTTTACGTAGAATTTAATGGTTTAAGAATAATTTTTTTAAAATTAATAATTTAAGAATAATCAACAGAAAATTTGATTTTTTATATGGGACACCCTATATATTTTTAATTTATTGAAAGGAATTTAAAATTACCTTTCCAAAAATATAACACACTTGGTATTTTGCACGATTCCTCTTCGAGATATAGAGTATATAGAAATTCGCCCGCTTTAAATAAGTAGGCTTTGAACGGCATCGGCTGTAATGCAAAAAAATTCTAGCTGTGAGCATCAATTAAAACGAAAATAATATTTTGCTATGAGAGATGCAGAATTTTATAACAATTTAAAATATATTTAACCAACATCAACACATTTAAACTATATCTAATAGCAATAAAAATAAATAGCAAACCAAGACATGAGATTTTGCTACAGGTGTTCGACATATCAACCGTCTTCTGTTATGGACAGACGGGGCAGTTTTTGAACATTTCTCGCGGAATTCATTAGCTCAGTGGGGGTGAAAAATACCCTCTCATAACTGCTAAGTATTTCTAATTCTTTTCTCGATTATACGGAAGAATAAGGAATAAGGAATTCTTCCGCAAATATATCCATAGGATTAGATCCATGGGCACTAAGTCAGGCCGCCAATGGGATCTTGGTTAGCTATTCAATTATTCTTGAAATTGGCTGCAAAAATTTGCTGATAACTTCAGCGATCAGAGGTCGTGCATCGTCTTGCTGGAAAAATATGTTTTCGAGTTCCATTAAGGGCATACCATCAATAAGGGGTCCAAAGCCTACTAGTTAAAAGTGGCGAACTTCTAAAAACTCTGTATTTCGAAGGGGATTATAACAAAATATCAAGTGTGCTATATTTTTGGAAAGGTAATTTTAAATGCTTTTCAGTTAATTAAAAATATAGAGAGTGTCCCAAATAAAAAATCAATTTTTCTGTTGATAACTCTTAAATTATTAATTTTAAAAAAATTCTACTTAAACCATTAAATTCTACGTTAAAAGGTGCTTTGGAAATGTTTTCATAGAAATACACAGATATTAGTTTTCGTCTATCTCCAATAGAAAAGGGTGTTTCCATTTAAAAGTGTCGAATTTGACCCACCCTGTACATATTTATTTTCGCAGGATTTTTAAAATAGAATATAAGCGAAGAAATAAATTAATATTGGGGAATTTTACAAACGAAAAGTTATTTTTTATATACTTTAATACTGTCTAAATGTTTTAAAAGTGTTTAATACATTTAAATAGATTTTCTCATTATATTTTAAAATATAAAAGACAGCCTTTATAAGAAGAGGGTTTATTCAATGACAGCTTTGACAAATGAACGGAAGGGAAAACAAAAAAAAGAAGAAAAATGAGTATAGCTTGAAAGTATAGAATAAAAACAAATTAAAATAACTTGAAAAAAATTACGACAGCCTGATAATCTTTTATTTTAAAGAGTTTAATATAAAATCGTAACAAATTAGGCGCATTTTTACGAGTCAATAGTTGAAGATCTTTGAGATTACAAAAAAAATTAAAGCTGAACGCAAGCCAATTTAATTTTTTGTTGGAAAAAGGAAAAGAAGAATTAAAAAACGAGACACATTAATATGTAAAGGTACGTCCATAGTGCACCGACTTCCCGCTTTTCCCTTTATCGCGGCAAAGTAGCGGTAAAAAATAGAGAACATCTGTATGTGCGTGATCATAGTGCGCCAGTCAGCCAGCTTCAACCGGCTTAACTGCGGGTAAAAATCCGTTGTTTCTTTTTGTTGCTTGCCCGCTTCACCCTCTCAACAGTTTTATCATCGGTACCCCTTATGAAACCAATTCAAGTCCCTCGCTCCCCCAAACTTAATCGAATCTGCTCTGCTCATTTCTCAACTTCAAATAAAGGTTATGTTTTACCACAATTCAAGCTATTTACTTACAAAATTATTAAAAATTAATCGATTTTAATAATAACCATCTTGTGTACCTACCTCTACAAAGTTGTTCACCACATACGAGACCGCTATTGTAGCTAAACGATTAGATTTTTGCAAATTGTAAGTTTTGGGTTCGTTGAGGGACTATTAAAGCTACAATGTAAAAATATTTGACAAGATACAGAGTGTCCCAAATACAAAAAAAAATATCAAAGTTTAATTTTTTTAAATGGAACACCCTGTATATTATTACATTTTTAGTTTTCACTAATAAAATAAAGGTAAATTTGATTAAGCTTTACGGCATTTTAATCTTATCGTTTTTGAAATATTTAGGTTTTTGCCAAAATACAGTAATAAATCTTAATGCCTCATTTCTCTAGGCGTATTTAAGTTTTTAAAACCAAATATTGTACTGAAGTATTTCTATTTACTAAATTTTGTGTTGAAATAATATAAATTATACTACCATATACAGAGTGTCTAAAAATTTATATTAAATAATTACTAGCTTTAAACGGTAATAACTTGTTAAATTTAAATGAAACACCCTGTATATTTTATGTCAGAATGAATCTGATGCACAATTTAATTGTCTATCAAATTATATTATACCATTTTTTACCTATCTTTTCAAGTTTTCGTAGAAAATGTATTTTCTTATAAATTAGACCTCATTCATATTTAAACCTCATTCATCATATTGACATTTTAGATTATTTTTAAAGATTTTTAAAGAGTACAAATTTTTAAAGAGTACAGATACTAATATTGTTGATACAGTTCGTTTATTTCATTAAAAAAAATCAAAAAAAACTGTTTAAATATTTGTTAAAGAGGGCCAATTAATATGATTCCAGTATTCAAACTACATTAATTGACTGTTTGCGTTGATTAATAATAATTGCTCCAAATACTAAAAAACTGAATTTTGTATGTATGCGCATTTGGTAATGCGACAGTGTGGTGAAAAGTAACACCTTAAAAATGTTATTTCAGTTTTCGACGAATGCTTATTTATAAAAACAGAGACGTTCATTTTATGACTTATTATTATATTGATTTCTGATTAAAATCCGCATTTATTTAGAATGATTTATTTCACAATTAAGTATGTAATTAATTAATATTTGGGCGGAAATAATGGTGGTATATTTAATTAATAGTATACTCTTTTATAAAGATTTAAATAGTTTTCTTGTTGTATACAAATGGGCTAGTAATATTACCGTTTTTAACACTTGTATACATTTTGTATTTGTTGCTTTAAAAACAATCTAAAATGTTGTTCAAAATCGATTTGAACCGCAAATGTTTTAGAACTGTCTATTTGGGGCCATCTGTTTCACAGAACTACAAAAATTGTCGGGTCGTAAAAAATGCCCTTTTTGGGTCAACTTTCTAGGGGCTTAAGGGCGACAAAGACACAGTCCTCTCTGAACATCGGCCTAAGTTGCCACGCATTAATTTTTGTATAATTAAGATCGCGCTAGAGACGCGGCTCTCTCTCTCTCTCTCTCTCTCTCTCTTCTCTTTCACTCTATCGCATTGTCTCCGCATAGTTTTTCTCTCTAGTAGTTAAACAGAGAAATATTTGCTCTCTCCCTTATTTAGTTAACAACAATAAGTAAATTCTTGTTTAGTTAGTAACTCTTCTAAGTGTAGTTAGTAACTCGTCTAAGTTTAGTTAGTAAGTCTTCTGAGTGTTCTTCAGTATTGTGAGTGACGTGTTGTGAAAAGTGCCAGAAAAACAATAGGAACTAGGAACTGGTAACAAACAATTATTGACTTTGATTATTTTGACTTGACAGTAAAGGCTTCATAGACTATATAATTGCCTTGAAAACTAAGACTATAAACTTCTTCTGCTAAGTGTTCTTCGCATTTGCTGCAGAGAAAACTTGACCATTTTTTACTACTTATTTTAATTAAATAGTGTTTAGTATTTAGCCGTAAATGTTTATTTCATTTTAAACTGAATCCACCCTATTTTATAAGCGTTCGCAACAAGTGCAATCGCTGTAATTGTAACGCAAGTTTCGCAGAAAACTGCTACATTTAATGGTCCTTCGAGCCGGATTCAGAAATAACATTTACAAAAATTATAAGTGAACATTTCTCCAGTGGACAAGTTTCTCTATTCACAAATTTCCAAAAACCGAAAAATTTACGCGAGTGATTTCGGATAAAGTTAGACCGCCGCAGCGGTTAGACACTTATTGGTACTGCAAAACTCTCTATTTCCAAAATTCCAAACCACGTCAAAAGGATAGGTTTCTCCGAGGGTTTCTCACAGAACTTATAGTGAATAGAATTTTTGGTTTTATTACTATACCCTAAACTAGAGATAAATCGATACAAAAAAGGAATTTGTCCTTTGTGTGTTTTATGTTTGTCAACAGTCGCTTTTGACACCGCCGTTTTATTTAGGAT